AAAAAAAAAAAAAAAAAAAAAAAAAAAAAAAAAGATGGAATGAAATCCAGCAAGGCAGAGAGCCGGACGATGAAAATGGGGAGGAGTTAGTTACTTAGCTTTTTTCTTTACAGCTACTAAACCCACAAAATTTATGGATTCTTGATGTTTTCATAATTAATCACTGATATTTTCCACCGCAGGAGCCGCATCTCCTTAAACTCCTTTTTCCTGCATCTGTCAAATCACGTTACACTTGCCTTAACTACAATCTTCAACATAAACTTTAGGATTGTTGCACCTGATAGGGGCTGAAACAAACAGTTGTGTTTTTGTTTTCTGTGGACCTTCGCACAAACCTTCTTCCCCGTAAACCAAAATGACTCTCTGCTCTCTGCTCTTTCTTTTTTGAAGTGAAGAGAATTTGTAATGAAGTGAGGATGGAGTGCATTTATTTTCTTAATCAGTAGTTCAGGAAATTTAGAGAAACTGAAAAGTGAGTTGAAAAAAACAGACAAAAAACGCTTAGGAAAATTATTTAGAGAGCTCTGAATAACTAACTGTCGCAGGTAACGTGAAGGATGCTACAGAATGGACCATATGAAACAGACAGCCACCTCAAAAATACTTGAAAAAAAATCAGAAAAGATAATGAGCAAAAAGAACAAACGAGAAGAAAGTTTTGCAGAAAATCGTAATTTTTGAATACTCCAGAAGAATCTAGTACAGAAAAAGAAAAGTTTTAGGAAGAGACTGTCACATATATGAAGTGGAAGGTAGGAGAAGGCTCCATGAAGTTCCACAGTACTTCAATATTGTAGCTGAAAGCGCAAAGTGAAAATACCGCGCTGAAATAGCTCAGATTTCAGAAACACTACTGGCTACTCCTTCAATATGTTTCTTTTATACTGTTAGCTGTTAAGGAAACGATGCTCGAATAATCATCAGTATGCGTTAAGGAGATGAAAAAGTGAACCGTCGAGTCCCTCGTCTTTCATAGCTGAGTGGTCATTTTACGAATCCGCTGAGGTTAACATCAGGCACGTAAAATTTCTAAAAAAATGTGTAACGGGATGGTCACCTGCTATTCCACCTTTGGTTGTAGTTTTCACTTTTTTGGTGGTTATAGTTTTTGAGCGTTTTTTAATACTTGCCTGAAGTGATAGCAGGTACAAAGACAGTTATAAAAAGTGACGTCTTCCTCTTTGAGCTCAAATTAGGAGAGTTTAGTAGGCTAATATGAGGTCATTTTTTTTTCAAGTATAGCACTGGGCCACAGTTTCTACCTAACGCGTCGAAAGTCAGGTTTCCTGATCTAATCATTCCATCCAGACTTGTCTTCAGTGGACAATCATTTGTCACAGATATATTTTCAAAATATGAAGTTTTCAAAGCCAGAAAGTACCACGGCTATCAGTTACAGCTCTTTTATTCCGGTATTTTGTTTGAATTAAATTTAAAGATTCTGAAAAATGACATTGATCTGTCTTGAGTACTAATATTCATATGCATCGTTTAGTTCCTTTGTATTAAACTATGGAGGATTACTTCTTACCTTAAGTATCACTCGCACTGAAGCGGGCAAAATTATTTTCTTTGTGGATTTGATACAGTTTTAGACAATTGTATCTTAAGGTCAAACCTGTATTAAGGTGTATCCGTCCGCCTAGTGAGTTTCTGTGATCTTATCGCATGTTTTGAATACTACGTTCAAGACAGTGAATCAAATTCAAAATTTTAATTTGATGTTCTATTTGGTTAATTTTTACAAATAAATTATTCAAGAAA